TGGCAGAGCAGAGAAGTAGGGCGGGCCGACTGAATGTCCACAATGACAGTCTCCCATGGATTCAACATGGGACCTCAGGAAGGGAAGGGGCTTGGCAGAACCTTAGACCCGACCCCTTTGGGACACCCAGAGGGAAATGGGACCACACCGGGCCAGCAGATTGCTGTATGGTCAGGGGCTGAAGGGGCAAGATGATGCCCATTGCAGCTGAAGCCTCCCTTAGAAAAGAATGCCACCCACAAAACAAAAAAAACCCAGAAAGGCGCCTGGTTGCAACCCGTCAAAACAGAAGACAACAACGTGGGGCAGGATGCCAGCCAAATATTACATTTCCCACCCTACCTCTCCACCTTCCACCATCTCTAAGCCCGGGAGGAGCCACCAGCAGTCCCACGAAGCGAGGAAGAGGAGGAGGAAGAAGGACCAGGCAGGAGGAGATGGGGGAAGAAGCCAGCATCCTCCCTCCCCTGCCTGTCAGACCCAAGCTGGGAGGAGGGCGGACATTTCACTTTTGAGGGAAGTTTGAGTTTCACGGTTATGGCAGACTGCGCATTTTAATTATGAAAATGAAAGCATTCCTAAAACTTAGAGTGACTGGAAAACTTTTCATTGTCTGTAAACGACAGGACAAGCCAAGGAGTGTGTCCAAGCATTCACCCCGCAGGCAGGTGAAAAGAGGTTCCCAAAAGATACGGATTTGAGGGGTCAACAGCGAGAAAGAGTAAAACTGTTTTGTCCCTGTATCCCCACCAGCATTCAGCTCATTCAGCATGCCGGGTACCCGCTCTTCGGGACTGCAGTGTGCCAGCAAGGATTAAGTGAGCACCCTCTGGAGCAGGTCTCACCTGGTGAGAGCAGTCAGTCCACTGACCAGCCCCGCTGGACGACTGAGATGGCCCGTGATGACAGCGAGGCCACCGCTCCCTGGATGCAGAGCTTGGAGAGATTTGAAGATGCACTGCCTCTTTTCGGTCCTTGAATATTTCGTGTGTGAGCCAGAATTCACTTCTAAAAGTGCTCCATTCCCTCTAAAACATATTTGAGTCATACATACTGTTGGATAAAAGGAATCTCATTTCATTCTCCTTCATCAACAAAGAACAGAGGCGACTGTTCTTTTGGTGCAAATGAGACAAGCCAAGCCAGAAATGGAAGGAAGGAAGAGAGAGAGGGAGGGAGGAAGGAAGGGCAGACAGAAAGGAGGGAAAGGAGGGAAAATAAAAAGACAAAGGGGGGAACATTTACTAGCTCAAAAAAATAATGCCTGAAAAGTCCATTATTTGTGCAGGTATGGCTGTAACCAGGTGCTCAATTAATGTTTTCCCAAATGTATCTTTCTCCACTTCTTGGCAATGCATTCGCTTTCCTAGGAGTGGCAAACAACCACTAGAAGCTCTAACCTTGTAGTCTATCAACTGAGGAACCCGAGCCAAAATGAAAAGAGGCTCTTTCAGTAGGTTTCAGTAAAAGTCGCAGCTTGAATTTCATTGACCTGGCGCGTCCAGTCTTGAGCTAATCACCATGACTCTGAATGTCCTGGCCTTGCCCACATGCTCCCTAGGTCAGGGCTGTGGGATCAGCCCCAGGGAAAGCATGGTGTGTGAGCAGGAAAGACCTGTTCTTCTTTGGAGATAGGGACATGGGGGGCGTGCAGGCAAAAGCAACAGGTGTTCACTCTGGACACAGAGCCTGTAAGTAAATAGCAAAGCCAGGATTCAAACGTACATCTTTCAATTCCTAAACCAAAGGTTTTCATTTATTACCGTGTCCCTCTTCTTATATTTTTCTCAGCCAGATGAATAGGGGAAGTTTGCCATCTAGAAGCTCAATTTATCCTGCATGCCAAGGTAAAGGACCAGCTAAAAATAAACCTGTGTAAACAAAATCATTTCATATACAAGACAGCAAATGGAATCATTGGCCTCATTTTATTAGTATTGTTCAAGATAATAATTGGTGCTCTCATTTAGCCTGACACGAGAGAAAGCTCTAATTTGATAAGCTCCGAAGTTAGGATTATGGAGCGCCGTAGCTTTCTCAGGAGTGAGACGTAAGCACGAGTGGGCAATAGAGTCAAAATGTATTCTTGGATGTTCTCTGGAGTTCTGTCAACCTGTCCCAATTAATTCCAAAAGCAGAGAGCTGAATACGGCTCGTGGAAGTGACAAAGTTGTCCATTTGTCACACAAGAGAACAAGAGCATAAATAGGGTGACTAATGTGATGTTCAGGGTTTTTCTTTGGTCTGGTTTATTTACTTGCACATAAAAAAAAGGGAAGCTTTTTTGTCCCCCTCCAGAGGAATGTCAATTTGATTTTTAAAAATCTATATCCCTACTCCCCAAAACTTCAGAAGTTTCAGTGACAGGAGTGGCTTCGTCTCCTGGTTGTGGGCCGGCCACTAATGCTAAGGATGCAGTACTTTACCTGAAACGCAGAAACAGTGGGGAGGTGGGCTCGGATGTGAGCAGATCAGTATTTCCATCATCTCCTACTGACCCCCAGCTTCGTGGCTACCAAACTCCGGATTGGAAGAAGTGCAGATCCTGCCAGGACCCGGGATGGAGGGAGACGAAGTTGAGAGCTGGAGGGCCAGGTGCACAGAACGTGCATTATGGTGTCTGATGCGGGCAAATTATCGATGGTCCATGCATTTTTATTTTATTGTATTGTATTTTATTTCATTATTTTTATTTATTTATTTGTTTTTGTAAAGCAAGCTCCACACCCAGGGTGCAGCCCAACGCAAGCTTGAACTCACGACCCTGAGACCAAGACCCCGAGCTGAGATCAAGAGTCGGACGCTGAACTGACTGAGCCACCCCGGTGCCCGGGTCGATGCATTTTTAAATAAGTCATTGTGTGCCCACAAAATTCCTGAGAACGGTGGGTTTCCCTTGACTTCCCCCAAGGGGAAGCTTACACCTTACACTGGTAAGTGACTTACGCTATCAATGGGTCTGTCAATGACCTGTCCATATGGAAGTCTGACGTAGGGCCACGCCCTCAATGACGACCTCTTTCAAGCTTGATAAACTTCCACCTGTCCATCCATCTGTCTGTCCACTCCGTCCATCTGACAGCTATTCCCAAGGGCTGGCGCGTGCTCGACTGGGCCAGCGGGACCCAGTTTTGGGCCTCTGGAAACATAAAGCACCAGGGACGCACACATTGAATAAAGGTATTACAGGAGCGCGCAGCCCCGGGGGGCCAGACCACCCCTGGGGTCCTGCGCTCAGGAAACACTGCCGCCCCAGGTGTGAGTCTTTTAGAGCGTCACAGCCCATGTGGGACCACAGCTGGAAGGATGAGGCTGCCCAGGGCACCCTGCACAGAAGGAAGGCTTTGTGCTAGCTCAGTGGGGAGACTCTGACTCGGGGCAGTGCGGGCTTTCACATGGATTTCCTATCATTTATCTTCTTATCAAAAGGTTTAATCACTTCCCACTCTCCTGACTGTACGGGAATAATGAGCTTATTCTTTCCCTACCAATACAATGCACAATAGAAACAGTTCAGAAACACTGTGGCCTCCTAAAATGAATGTCTTATTGTATAAACATCATTAAAACCACAGGAAAAGGAATGTTTAAGGAAGAAAAAGAAATCTCAGTCATCCCACACAAGACGATTGCGTATTGCCCACTGGCCTTTGTGTGCATGCACACCAAGATGAATTTTATGTGAAAATTCGTTGTGTCCTTTCCCCCAAGAAGCTGAATATATTCTGACATGTAATGGGCCTGTGGTTTCTGCAGAAGGAGAGCATGTCCCCCCCGGGATTTTCGGCTTCTCTATCCAGAATAAAAAAAGTACTTTAGAAACTTGAAAACGAATCCCAGTTACGTCTTGTTCTGGAAACAGTTAAAAATTGCATCACGTTCCCAGGAGGGCAAGGTCTATATCATATACCTTGATGCCTCAATTAGCTCCCTCTGCTCCCCTAAACAAAGCTCCTTTCTATGAAGTCAGACGTATTAAATAACAAAGGCAGTGGGGAACCTGAGACGAGCTGGGAGGCGGAGGCTGATGCTCTAGGTCCTGCGCAGAGCGGCGAGTCCTCCACGAGATGCTGGCTTCCCCAGACTCCCTTCTACATCCTGTCTCCCCGGTCCGAGTCGGGGCGCTCATCACGCTCCCCACCAGCAGAAGGGAGAGTTCTTGGCAACTCACTGGTCGTTCCATCCCATGGGAGAATTCATCCATGATACCGTCACCCGGGCTGTGCTGAACCTTTCCTCTCGCTGTCTAGTAAGGGCGGATTTTAGGCACTTTTAAGTGGGAGAAGAGGTATGGAAGCAAATGGCCTGAAAAAGCATCCTGCCTCCTTACGACTCAACATGTAGGTCCTTGGGCCGCTGACGTCGGCATCCCGTGGGAGCTCATCATGGAATGCAGAAGCTCAGGCCGTACGCAGTGGCACTGGGTCAGAAGCTACATGGCAACAAGACCTCCAGTTGCGGTGGGTGTTGCTGATCAGGGACCACTCTTGGACAACCACTGCTCTAGAGCTGATCAGGGGACCCACCCACCTGAGTATCCTCCCGGGGCATTTTCCTGTGGGGGCAGAGGACACTGCTAGCGACCTTCCACTTCCACGATGGCGCAGAAGAGCCACAGGCAGGGCAGGAGAGCTGGGCTGGAAAACTCGCTGCCCACTCACTGCTACCAGCTGTCTCCTGAGTCCAGCCTACCCTGCAGCACCCCACGCTCCTCCCCTCCACTTCCCCTCACTCTGCTCAGGATTTTCCACTTAGGTGGTCAGGCCCATGGGATCCCATTTAGTTATCACGACACACACACAGCCAGTCCGAACTAGGTGGTAGAAAATAGCATTGACCGGACAGTCTCATGCAACACACGAGATTAGAATTAATATGAATCCTCCAAGGATCCCTGGGTGGCTCAGTCGGTGAAGCGTCTGCCTTCGGCTCAGGTCATGATCTCAGGGTCCTGGGATCGAGTCCTGCATCGGGCTCCCTGCTCAGCGGGGAGCCTGCTTCTCCCTCGGCCGCTCCCTCTGCTTGTGCTCTCTTTCCCTGACAAATAAACAAATAAAATCTTAAAAAAAAAAAAAATGAATCCTCCAAAATTAAAAAAAAAAAACGCATCAAGAATTGCATAATTTCAAGACCAGGCGGAGGTCCTGAGAAACCATTTCTATTTTTCCCGCATGCCAGACCACAGAAATGCCCGCCATCCTTTCTCAGGATCTGTAATCTATGAACCTTCTTATTATTTACAAGAATCAAAGAGTTGGGTTAGCATCTTGGTGACTATTTTGCTGGTATTAATCTTCACTGGTATAACTTGTTGTCATCTAAAGGATCCTTCAATGGGGGTGCTCATGCTGAGGCTGATAAAAAGGTCCCCCACTTTGAAATCCGTGCAAGGGAAGTTAGATGTGGTAAAATGCCACAGCGAAACCCATGCATGCACTCTGACATGCTATTAATATGGGGAAAGGCTCTGCAAAATATTACAGATAATGCTAGGGGGGGAATGCAGCGGTAAAGCCAAAAGACAACATAGTAATTACAGATTTATGCTCTCCTGGAACACATCCCCCGACTTCACATTTATTGCTATGGGAAAGTTTGTCTTGAATTATACAAGATCTTCCAAAAAGCATCCGTGGCATAAAATGTGAACACGACATATATGAGAATATTTTATTCCTCAGGTCACTACAGCCAAAAAGGCAACCTGATGGATCCAACATGATTTCTCTCCTTGGCTTTGGAACTCATCCCCCGCCCGCACCCCGGGTTAGGCATCCCAGGCTCCCCTTGTCCCCCGGGACCCCACACATCGCATTGCAGGCAGCAGACACCCGGTAACATGATCATCAGACCATGGCCAGCAAGAGGGCTGGTTTTTGACTCATTCTCTGTTTTCATTTTTAAAAAAAAAACCAGGCTGATATTTTTTGAACTTTGGCTTTGAGCAAGGCTCATGGCCGCTCTGCTGGATGGCTGTTTTACTTCTGTGTGCCTCAGTTTTCTGTCTTTGCAAGGAGATTTGCCCTCAGCCTGAAAGTCATTGCTCTGAGGGAGTCGTACAAGGAGGGCGATGGCGCCCTTCACGGTGAGGAGGGGCAGGCCTGCAGCCGTGTCACCGGAAGCAGGAGCGGGTGTACAAGTCCATCCACACTCCCGTGCCCATTCTTGCTGTGGGGTGAGGGGCCATTACAGGTGGGGTACAGCCCTCACACACCTTTCTCCTCTGCAAGTGAGGAGAATGTATCTCAGGACAGAGGGTGGTGTGTGCCCTGAGGTCTCTCTAGGAAGTAGCCAGTTGTAATCCTGAGAATGAGCTCTGAGTATTAGGAGGTAACCGTAGGTCGAGATCAGAGCTGTGGGAAACACTCCTCCTCAAGGATTGAGAGAGGTGCAGTGACAGGGCCCCAAATGGGACAGTCCTTTTGCTTCCTCCTATGCAAATTCCTCTTTGGCCCTTGCCCCAAAGGAAGGTCACAGAGGCCAAGGGAGAAAGAAGTGTTGGGTTGAAAATTGCCATTTTTAGGCACCAAATGGTTGACAGTCGGCAATTTCATGTGATTCAACCTAAAATCACCCAGTGGAAAGGGTGGGGAGGGTGGGAAACCCTTTAAAGTTTGCTTGTGGCAGGAGGTGGGCATGGGGAAGGTGGTGGAGAGTGAAGTTGAGCTTCAGGGGAGACCTCTGTCTGTCCCCACCATGGGGGAGGTGGCATGGAGTGGGGGAGTGGGCTTGGGAAGTGACCCTGCTCCCTCTGGGTGGTGGATGCTAATGATAGAGGGGATTATATCTGAGCTACCGCCATATTGCCGCTGCCCTCATCACCCTGCCTTGTTATGATTTGTTTCCAAGTAATGTCTTGAGGACAGGGTCAGGGATAGTCTCCTAGTCTCCTATGTATTCCCAGCACCTCACCTGGGTTCTGGATACCCACTGGAGGCTCCAGGAAATGGCTACTGAATTAAAGCAGAAGCCTACTGATAATACAGCATTCCTATGAAAAACTAGTAGCTGGGAATCTTCATGAGTAAGGAACAGGATACAATAGTTCCTAAAATTATTAGACAACAAAATATATTGTTTTCATGGAGCATCTCCCAGGACAGGTAATTCTCCCTGAATGTATTTTGGTCCTTCAGACAGGAATTGGGTTGAAATATATCTATGCACAAGTTACAAACAATAATTTAATAAACTAAATTTCAAGGTAGAAATAGTAAAATACAGAGGAGAAGAATCTCTTTCCAAAGACCTGAGAACTATTTCAGAAGCACCAAGTACATGTAAATAATTGATAGAATATTAATAATAATTTAATTATTCATTGAAATAGGTTCCCTAAAGATATGGATGAAGAAAGACTGGATTAGCCTAGTTGAAGATATATATTTGAAAATAATAGGACTACAATGCTCCAAATATATTCTAACTTTTCAATAATTCAAACTAGTTCCACCATTTTATTCCATACTTAAAGGTTTTAATCTATCTATTTAATTCACTAACTCATTAGAAAATATGTGAAAGGTACCGTGTTTGGTATCGTGGGGCGACAAGGATGAATCAAGGCAATTTGTCTTCAAGGATATCTATGAGAAGAGGGGATAAGCCAGGTAGATTAGATTGAGTGAATATTCTTCAAAGTAGAAAAGGATGAGTGGTCTATTAGAGACACAGACAAGTGCCAGGGGGTTTCTGAAGGAGAGAGGCTCCTTCCAGCTGTGGGAGGAGAGATGTCTTGGCGTTGGGAATTCTTTCTGGGAAGGTGGTCTGTTGGTGAGGAAGGCCGTGGATGGCAGGAGAAAAGTGTGTCCTCATTGGGCCCTATGGATCCTGTCAGACATGAGCATGTTTGTACAGTCAAGGGGCCAAGATGTGGAGCTGGATTCAGTCAGTGCCAGTGGGCATGGGAGAGAGAGAATTGACAGGTGGAAACCCATAGAACAGGGTTGGAAGAGGCTGTCATGGAGAGTTCTGAGTTCAAAGAAATAATGTGAATTTTGGAAATGTGAAACCCTCTGCTCTGTCTGCCTTGGTATCAAAATGACCCACCAACCAATACCTGAGAGTAACCAAGGAGATTCTAGAAATATGCCCCAAGTGGTTTGCCCAAGGAATGAGAAGGAAAGCGCCCTTTCGGTTCATGCTATTTAAAATAATGTAGGAACAAAAGAAATGAGGGCAGGTCTTCTCAGTGTGAGGACACTGGGAAACGTCCTGGCAATATCCCATCAACCTCACTTTGGGTCCTCGTTAATGGAATATAGCTATGAAGAAGTGTGACTGCGTGAGTGGTACATGAGCAAAGGAAAAACACAATAGGGTGCAAGGGCTTTCGATAGATTATAGCCAGGATTTCCACTAGGATTCAACACCTCCCATGCATTCTCATTTAATTTTCCTATCAATCACATACATTACATTATTCCTATTTTAGACACTTCATAAGGAAACTTAGGCTCAGAACGGCCTAAAAAATGAAAAGAGGCAAGCTTGTGAGCCCGTGGCAGGGCTCTGATTTGAATCCAGGTCCTTTGGACCCCAAACCCAGGGCTCCCCAGAAGTCACACCTTTGCCTCCTCAACACCAGTTCCCTCACCTTCACAAGATCTTGGGTCCCTGGTCTGTAAGTCAGGGAGTGTAACCCCAAAGGCCAGGGCTAGGCCTGCAGACCCCCCTTGTGTATGCCTCTGGCCAGGTGCTTGTGCTCATAGCTTGGAACCAAGGCCACCACCTGTAACACTGCTGAGGGCTTTGGTCTGGGTCCACGAACGTGTCCTGCCACAGGGAAAGCCATGTATCCAACCTGATGCCAGGAAGCCTTCCGTTCCCTGCTAGCAGAGGGGGGCCAGTGACTCCCCACAGTCTGCATGATAAATCAGCTCAAAGACACCCGCTTCGAGGGCATAAGGGGCCCCTGTTATCACAGGCCAAACTCAGAGTCAGTGCTGCTAGATTTACTTTCTAATTCATAAATCCGGGTGGATTGGAGCCTGTCCTCCCAGCCTTGCTGGATCCTCCCTGGCAGGAGCTGTGCACAAAACCACAGCCCCGGGGCTCAGACCTTGCCTCCTGTCTCCAGGACAAGGGTCTAGGGCCAGCAGAGAAGGTGCCACGTGCCTGGCAAATGGCAAACTTTTGCTTTGCATTGCCAGTATTCGAATATTGATATTCCAGAATATTGCATATTGCTGGGAGGAAGGGAGGAGTTCTCTCCACCTTATCCCCCAAATGGCCCCTGCGTTCCGCTTGGCTGCTCGTCAGGGCTTTGGGCTGTCTTCCAATGAAAGTTCCAACCAGAATTTTTTCTTGGGCTCCAGACTCCCAGCAGGCCTTTGGCTGCATGTCAGTGAGTCTGTGAACTTCTCGAACGTGTCTGTGTCCCGTCTACACAGCACACGGCAGTAAGAATCCCTACTGGTTCCCTCCCTATCTGTCTCTATTGGGATTCTATGGGGCCTGGAGCTTTCTTATTTCTTTTTTTTTTTTTTTTAAGATTTTATTTATTTATTTGAGAGAGAGAGAACACATGAGAGGGGATAGGGTCAGAGGATGAAGCAGACTCCCCGCCGAGCAGGGAGCCCGATGCAGGACTCGATCCCGGGACTCCGGGATCATGACCTGAGCCGAAGGCAGTCGCTTAACCAACTGAGCCACCCAGGCGCCCCGAGCTTTCTTATTTCTTGAGAGACCCATGATCCAAAACCAGTTTGGAACTGTTGCTCCAGGAAGAGAAATCTCCTGTGTTCTGCCTCTCTGAAAATGGGGGGCTCTATGCTCCCCAGACCTCCACGAGCTGTGTCCCCTGCCTGGAGCATCAGCTGCAGACAGGGTCTAAGGGTGTGACTCTCGAATTGGTACTTAGATGTTCAGAAGCTGGAAGCACGTTCTCCCTGACTGTTCTATTGCCCACCTCAGCCTCATCCTTCCCGGCCCTTCTCCCTCATCAAGCAGGTCTCTCAAAGGGTGGAAACAGAGACTCCGTTACCTCCAGGAGTAGATACCAACTGGATGCCGACAGGGGCTTTCTCGGGGCAGAC